GTTATAGTCCTTACACTGTATGTTGTAGATGACTCCTGTTTTTTCTTCTTGGGCTACTGGGAAATTGATAGCCTTATGAACTCTTTTGAGTACCATGACCCTGACTCTAACTAGATTTCTCTAAGAAAAATGTGAAGTTTCTGCACCTGGGAGCAATCATAAGTCATTATATTGATACAGCTTCAGATGAAGGAGAGGAGGTTGGATCTTCCATTTTGGACTAGATGGAAGAACGTATTCTTTGCCTCTTACTGGATGCTTACTTGGTCATGGGGCTCCGCAGCAGGGGATGCCGTGGCACCTTCATCCAAGGTAATGTATCTTCTGGCTTGACAGATGGGTTCTTAGGCAGCCACCAACCAATATCTTGTCCACACGTCAGTGGTACCCTGTATGCTTGATTAGGGTCTAGAAAAGAGATCAAGCCTTCTGATTGCTTGGGAAAGACCTAAACGCTGTCTGTAGGCAGGGCAAGGTTTTGATTAAAGGGCTGCCTTTCAATGCCTGCTAAAATCCTTTGGAGGCAGGAGAGAGTAACAAATAAAATTGGGGGCTTCTGTGAATGCTGTGCACATCAAACTTTGTTTGGAGGCAGGATTTCTAGACAAAATTGCCTTTGACCAAATATGGCTTTATTACCTGAGGCAACCCTTCTTCCCCTCCTTCTTATTATCTAACTACTTTATTCCCTGGAAACCCAAGAGCTATTCTATCCTGTATTTTGCCAGACTTGCTAGCCCTAGTCTGGCATCGTTAGTACTTTCCTAGTACTGTACTTGAGGTGATGGTTTCATTTATTTCAAACTGTTGGCTGTGAAATAAATTAGTATCTATTTTCTACCTGGTGTCTTGGGGTGAGATGGCAGCACCTGGTTGACCTTTTCTGGGTTTGGAAGCTAAGAATAGTCAGGCCTGGTTAGTACTTGGATAGGAAACTTCCAGAAAATAGGAGAGGTACAGAGGAAGACACTGGCAAACCATTTTCATTCTGCTGCCAGGAGAACTGCATGGATATGTCATGAAGTCACCAGCTCAGTTTACAGGATATGGCAGCTGATTGCTAAATTAATTGTTTGATCATAAATTTATTATAAATGAATGTCAAGTCAAAGCTTTTTGCCTCTTTTCCATGTTGTCCCAAAAGAGCTGGCAGTGAATATGGAAGGACTAAGCTACAAGATGGTTCTTTGGGACTTGCTCTCCTCATCCACTGCAGGGAATCCAGGGACTACCAGGCTTTCTTTTGGTTCAGTCCATACTGTCTCCTAGCATGCTCTTGAACTATGCGCTCCCTATTTATGCTGTTGCTCTTAACCCAAAGGACCTTATATATATTGTAAATTGTGAGTACAAGTATCTCTCTGCAATGAGGGGGAGAAGGGGGAACAGGGACCCAGCAGCTTTCCAGATATTATAGGGTTCCTTCACCCCTAGCCAATATGCTGAGTGATCAGAAATGATGCCTGTTGTGATTGAACTTCTGGTGAACCATGGGTTCCTCTGTTCCTGCTATGAGGGGTCCCAGAGAGTATCTCTGCATTTATTGAAACTTTGATTTAAACCCTACCCTTGGTGCTGCTTCACCTACATTTCTTGAGCTGCATCCGTTTGATAGTCTCTTGATATTTCTTGTGGCTGCCCTGATGTTCAGTGTCATCATATCCAAATTGTCCTATGGGTGGGAGCTTTGGGTAGAAAAGTTCCAGTTTGGGAGGGGTTGTTCCCACTGGGGATGGACAGAAAAAAATGTCACTCCAGAAGATAGCAGTTCCCAAGGCAAGATTCAGAGAAAATTACACAAATAATTTTTCATACTATTCATAATACTTCAAAAGTGTGGAAGTTGCCTTATATAATTCTATTTCTTAAATTAAGAAGGATCAGCTTGACTACTTTCTGGATATGAGCCTGCCTGGAAAACTTGTTTATACCACTACTCTGATCACTAACTTTTTAAAGGCATCCACTTAAATGTTAATTATAAAACAAAGATCACAACATCATCGTGGCAGTCACAAGTTTAGAAATGCATATATTTTAAGAGAAAAGCAGTTGTACTAGAGAACAGACAATAGCTTAATATTCATATTTTAGTCTGAAATGAAGCCCAGTCTAGATAATTGCTCTTCAGATGTTTCTGGATGCAGTATTTCAGATTGCAGGTAGGCAGAAAATATGCCTGAATAATTGTGTGCCCCCACAATCCTTAGGCAAACTCATGGGTTGAGGGGAAATACTGGCTAAAATCCTTTCTGTTTACCTCTAGGCTTCCAATTGCAGAGTTTTTAAAACTATAGTTACATCTAGTTATGCTGTTCCACATGTGTGTGAAATATTAATACTTGAAGAGGGGGTTAATTAACATGATCCAGAATCTATAAGCCACTTTTATGCTGGACTATGACCATAATAAAGATTTGATTGACTGAATACAGTGGTACCTCGGTTCAAGAACTTAATTTGTTCCGCGACTCTGGTCGCGACCCGAATAGGTCGTGACCCGAATCAAATTTTCTCATAAGGTTCAATGTAAATACGGTTAATCTGTTCTGGCCCCTCCGAATTTGGTCGCGACCCAATTTTGGTCGTGTCCCGAATCAAATT